GTCAGTCACGTGTAAGGAGCGCCTTACGAAAATAGGAAGTTAAAAGTCAAGGGAGAGCAGGTGGGCTGTGCTGTTTGTCTCTGGTGTTTAGGGTGGCTGCCCCTGTTTCATTCCAGGTGGAGCCATGGGGCGACTATAGGTTGTGGTTTTGACGTATGAGGAGTGCTTTTTTAGTCCTGTTCGGGTAAGGTTTTTGATAAACGATATGGTCTTTTTGGTTTACCTGTGGCTTGCTCAGTATGTGGTTGCAGCTTGTTTTTGTTTATTATTTTCGTTCGGGTAGATGTCTTGGGGCTTTTAGTTGGTTTGATACGGGGTTGGTTAGTTCCCTCGAGTTTGGTTCTTGTTTATTTTTTTAGTTGTTTAGAGGTTTGTCATTTTGTTCTACTGGTCCGGTTCTCAATCTCTCCTTGTTGTATAGCTGAGCTTTTCAAACAGTTTTAACAGTTACTTTAGTCTGACAAAAGCCGAATGACGAATTAGCGCTTCCAGTCAGAGATTGAGCATGCACCGCTTTATTGTATTTCCAGACTTGCTTTCGGCACAATTTACAGTGCCGCTACTCTGTCTTTTGTCAGACTTGAAATAGCCGAAATACCTTCACACTACGGAACTTCTATGGCTCTTCCGTTCGACAATCTCTCCGGCATTGGAACCATCATCTGTTTTCTCTTCGGTCACGCTCGGTTGATTTTTCTAGTCGGCACACTCATTTCCTCCATTCCGCTGGCCTGCTTCAGAACAAACACGACGCTGCGGCTGTGATTGGTCAGCTCTGCGCATACTTAATGTGGATTGGCTGTTCTTTTTTTTTTTTTTAATTTGCTTAAAGAGCGAGGCTTCAATAGTTTAATTTTTTTGAGAAATTCAGTCATTGCAATCGTATCGTGTCTTGCGTTAATTCCCTAAGTACTTTCTCTTAGAAAACTCATTTCCAGAACATGGCTCTGACATTTAACGTGAAGCTGCATTCTGACGACACAACTTGAATTGAAAAAGGATAATGTTGCTTCAATAAAGCCAAATAGATGTCTCAAGGCAACACAGTAATCATTCCTGTGTACGGTTCTGCGAGGACAGCCATATGGCGCCACCGGCTGTGGGGCATCTTGCTGTAAATAACCGGGGTTTGACTCTTGTTGAGCTTTGTTACTCTTCTACGTTGTCCTGTGGTGGCTCACCTGTACAGTGTTTGCACAGAAACCTGTCCTGTTTGTTAGATCAGGGGACTGATTGCTATTTTTCGCAGGTGACCTGTGGGCCTCGTGAGTAGGGGGAGAGGTCGTCGTTGGTGACTCAAGTTGGTGTTCCACCTGGTACAGAGAGGCGGTGAGAAGCGAGAGGCGTCTGAGGAGGTAAGTGGAGGAAGCGTCTTTCGAGTAAGGTCTTAAATATTGATTTATGTGTATTCACTAATGGCTACACCTGAGTGTCTACTCACGTCGTCCAGGTGGTCGGGCAGTGCGAGGCTGCGGAGTGCATGGACTGTTCGTTCTCGTCTGACAAGTGTGAGTTGTGGGGTAATGCCTGGGGTACGCACACACGAGGACAACTTTATCACACCTGCCGGGATCTGTGCTATCAGGGGTCAGAACGACATACTTTATTCACTGGCAGAGATTATGTGACGCCAGTGTGGAGTTGTTTTCCCAGCTGAAGTTAACTGCAGCTGCTCTCTATCGACTGCTCCTTATTTTTCTGTAAATGTGTGCAGCTCTTGAGTGTATCCTGTGCTGGCTGTTCCACGGTGGCGCGGCGGTCCGGTGAACTCATTTCCCTGACATTTACCCGTGGTTGAGTCCCTGCGGCTCAGGTGCGGCAGGCGCCAGGACTTACACTCAGCAGCCCGCAGGGTGGGAGCCACGCCCTGGACTCGCGAACATACGAGGTGGGCCCATGCTCCATCGACCGGCCTGTTCGTGGACCCTGTCGGCGTACCGGTGACCCAGACCGTGCTTGTTTCCGGGTGGCCAGGTCTCTACGGGGATCCTGGCCGAGGTGACAGGCTAGGTGGTTCCTGGACGCGTTCCTGGCTCCCAGTTCCATCGACACGTGCGATACATGGAGGTAAGCACACCTGCATCCAAGTTGTTATAACAAGATAAGCCTACGTCCCCGCATGGTCGGGCGGTCAGTCTAAGCAGCCAATCACAGCTTTAGAGTCGTAGCTGACAATGAGGTCGACCACAGCTTCTCACTGAGGTTTACCTGAAGATTAGAGGTACGGTTCTAATCCGCATCAGTCTCCTTCCCAGAACTCTAAGATGCTGCCGCCATCCAAGAGGTTCAAGATGGAGAACAGCGTCCCCGTGCATCACAATGGCCTCGAGACGCCAAAAACAGGTATGGCTAGAATGTCCTAATCTACAGCTAAATTACAGATAAAACATCTATCTGTGCTTTCTTAATCTCTCTGCATGTCGTCCGACCAGGTGGGACCGTGGTGACCTCTGTGACCCCTCTGAAGTCCTGCTCGGTCTCTGTCGCTCCTCTCGTGATTCCAGAGGGAACCAGACTGTTGACAGTCTCTGCTGACTCCTCCAGGTGAGCTGTCTCTACCTCCTGTTTGCTGAGTACATGTGCGTGGTAGCCACGCCCTGAGGTGACGATGTGATCACAGGTTACCTGTGAGGTCAGGGTTTCCGTAATGTGGCGAATGTATTTTTACTCGGCCAGTTCTAGAAAATCGAGTTCAGGTGAGGTCACTTCTGGAAAGCGCTCCTGTCTCACTGCACTGCAATGTGTTTCTCACAGCTCCTCACAGGCCCCGCCCCCTGACACCCCTATGGAAGTGACCCCAGGTGAGGACCATGACGTCCACCAGGAACAGGCGTCAAGCTCTACAGACATCGGACCCCGGGTGACGGAGCTGGAGAAAGCTCTGGGTTCAGGTCCCAGTGACCCCACGAACACAAAGTCATCTGAGCCCGCCCCTACAGCCGGATCTGTCATCAAGCCTGAATCCAGCCTGATCCAGACTCTAAGCCCCTCCCACCCTGAGTTGGGCCCCTCGGAGGCCAAAGAGGTGCAGGAGGGCGAGGAGATCTACATCCAGACGGAGGGGCTGACGGTGCAGCTGGCAGAACCGGGCTCAGACGGGATTGTGATCGTTAACGGGCCAGATGGAACCACCATGCACATTCAGACCCCGGAGGGCGTGCCGCTGGAGGCGGTCCAGGCCCTGCTGGGCATTGAGGCGTCCGACGGAGCCAAAGCCCCCCAGTAAACACCTGGACCAGAACCAGCACCTGGTCTGTACCACGCTGACTTTTAAGGTGGAGTGAGGCAGTGCTGCAGACAGACGTACCTGACACCATCCTGCACCTTCGGCGCCCCCCTCAGGTTTCTGCTGGACTTTACAGCTGTAGTAAACACTGCCGCCTGCAGGGGGCGCCTGCTCTGACTCCGCCCTGCTGAGGACAACAGGACGAACAACTCCGTTAACCTGACCCCAGACCGTACCTGGAAACTTAGGTCCGGTCATTTCTGGTTCAGACTGAAGCTCCTGTTGATGATGTTCGCCATGACTTCAGAAACCAGAGGGATGGCGTCATGGCGACAGGTGGTTTCACCTTCATCCAGGTGCAGTAGCGTGTTCTGCAGACTCGGGGCTCTGTACAGTGCATCTGATTGGCTCGTTTAGTGCCACCTGTGATGATGTCATCAGCAGCCTCCCTGGTTTCCTGGACTCCTGATTGGCTGTGAATGTGTAAACTTTGTGTCTGGACTCGTTGACCGTGAAGTGATCCGTTGGATGTTCATATGTAGATAAAGTTTAAAAAGTTGCACTATTTTATTACTTTTTATAAAATTCACACAACACGTTCTCCAAACGGGATGAGAACATTCGGAGAACCGACACGAGAACAGAGGGGAAAAAACGTTGTCCTGTTCGAGTGTTTCCTGTTCCTCCCAATAAACTAAGCTGAACTCCACCCACCTCAAAGCGTCTGTGTTCTCGCGCCACACCTGTCAACCCTACCAGGGTGTCACTTTGTCTTCACTAAAATATTACACACTACACGCGATTCTTCGACACACTTTCTTGTACACTTTTTCATGTGTACAGACTCCACTCTTTACTTAGGCACATAAACACATCACATCCATAAAGGGCGGGCTGTGGGCTTCAGCACCCAGACGCCATCGCTATAGGTGGCTCATGCAGAGTCTGACCAGGTGTGTCGCTTCCGGTTTGAACAAACTTGCCATCAATCCGTGATGTAACAAGAAAAAACAAAAACGCTTCAAACATAACATCGCCACGGCAACCAAACCCTTGAGCGGGTAAGTTCTTTGTGGAGATGTTTAATATTAATGATGTCATCAGAATTAAGCCACACAAGTACAGGTGAGGCGACAGGTGAGCTCCGCTGTGCTGATGACAGGTTACGTATTGATCAGTTTATTGCCTGTGATCTCAAACAAAATAGGGGCTGAGTGAGTCTCCTTCATCGAGGTGGAGCCAGGGTCACACCTGCATCAGGTTTAATGGATGATCAATAGAGTCACTCATCAGTCTGGCGTTCCTCTGTTGCGACTCTTTCATGTGCTTCATCTCCGACAGGGCTGATTGTCTCACAGTGGGCGGTGCCCAGTCTCCAGCAGCAACGCCTCCAGCCTGAGTCTGCTCTGCGTGGGAATGAATGGCTGATGGAGCCAGCAGGACAGAAAGACCATGCAGAGGTCAGAGGTCACCGAGTGAGCCACTTCCTGTAGGATTGTCTGCTTTAAGAGGAGCTCCTGACGGAACGAGTCGAGCAGCACCTGAGAGATTTCACCTGAAACACAAATTAAACAATCACCCAAAGGGATCACAGCATGCAGCTCCACGACAGGACAGGTAGTGTGCTGCCTCACTCAGGGGCACGTTACAGGAAGCAGGTTCAGTTACATCTGAGTCTCTTAACCTCGAGATGAGGGAGAAAGAGAGTTAACGTCGACTATGAGACGGTAACCATGGTAACACTGAACCTAACTGTATGCTGGCAGGTGTTTTTTGCCTGACTCCTCCCCTCCTGCTGCACCTGAATCAGCTGACTGACCTCAGATTCATTAAGTTGGAGCTCGGAGGAGACAATCTGGAGAAGTCTTTACAAACGCTGAAGTCTCACATTTATGTTAGTTTGTTATTTTTGTGTTTAGCACGAAGCTCTGGCAGTCAATCAGTAATCAATGTATCAGGACAGAGACAGTGATGACATCACAGATCTATCATCTCCATGACTCTGTGGACAGTGACGCTGTCAGTTTCCTACATTGCAAACGTTTACTGTGTTACACTCTAATCACCGATCGATCATTTTTCATAGTCACCGCTGGAGAATATCTGAGTGAAGATGAGCTCAGATGACTTTTAGACTCTTAAACTGAGACCGTGACGTTTCAAAGCTGCCGCAGACAGTCTGATTGTAATCGGCAAAGTTATTATCGTTAACGAAAACTAAACGAAATAACGAAAACTAAGAAGTAAAGAACTTTATTGTTCACGAAATAAACTAACTAAAATTAACTGAATTTATAGCAAAAATGTGTTTAGTTTTCATTGATGTGTGCGTGTCATACAATAGTCAAGGGTGAAAATGAAGTTTAGTTTCCAGATTTTTTTCTTGCTGTGCTCATTATGCCAGCAGGTGGCAGTACGTTAGTCGAGTCGTCTGTGTTGCTGCTCCGTCCACGCGCAGAATCATGTCAGGAAAAGTCGGGAGAAAGCGCCAGAGTCCAATTTGGGATTACTTTGAATATGACTGTGTTTTGGATAAAGCAAGTGTCTTGTAGTGGAAAGAGACAAATTATGAGGGACATTTCTAAAGGGAAAAAAATCCCACAAACCTTAAAGTGCACTTGAAAAGCTCACACAAGAAGGCTAACCTAGCTTACCTTGAGAAGGTAAGGGAGCACACTCAACCCTCATCCCCAGAAAACAGAAGCTAACCCCAGGCAAGGCAGCGTGATGCATCCCGAGACAACAGGACGGGGATATCTACATAACTGTGTGAGTCAATTGCCTTCAAAAAGTTTATCAATTCACTTGAACCAAAATTACGAACACCCGGTGCTGCAAGAGTTAATAGTCTCATTGGGGCCAAGATATACATTTTATAGTTGCCTGGTATCAATGGTTGTTCATCTGCTTATTTATTTTTTATTTATTTATTTATAAAGAACCCATAGGTGGGAATGTGAGTTGTCTGTCTCTGCGTGTTAGCCCTGCGACAGACAGGCGACCTGTGCAGGGTATGGTAGCTGGAATAGCAACATACCCAAGGATAAGCAGAAGAGCATGACTGATATGATGAAACTGGGATTTTGTTACACTTAATTATTGCAAACACACTAAAACTATAACTGAAACTAATCAAAACTAAACTGAAACTAAGGATTTTCAAAAAAATAAAAACTAAACTAAACTAGCAAACAATTGGTAAAAACTAATTAAAACTGATATAAAATTGAAAATCTGAAGTCAAAACTAAATAAAAATAAAAACTAATGAAAATTGCAAAACTATTAAACCCTGGTAATCGGATTACATTTCAGTCCCTGAATGTCATCTAACCACATTTTAAAGGTTCCGAGTCTGAGCCTCGACATGTTTGGATCTGCTTCAAGGAATCGCAGGCTCCGAAACAGATCCAAAATGGATTCGGATCACAGATTCAGACCGAATCCGGTTCCAGCTTATCCCGCGTGGCTCTATTTGGATCGTTTACAGCTTCTGCATCTCTGACTTCAACCTTCTCTGCTCAGCGTGCGGGCAGCTGAGTGAAAGCTGAGCCACATTTGTCTTTTATCGTTGGAAACTTTGGTGTTTTACTCAATGACTGTCAGACAGCCATCGTTGACCGTGAAGTTGATATGAGATCAGATTATAATTGTTGACACAATTTAAGCATTTTTATCCTATAATGGCAGAATTAATGGAATTTGTTAGCGTTACTGATGGAACGGGCAGAAACCGCAGCAGAAACAATTGAATAAAATCTGAGTAGAAGGCGGATCTGCCTGGAGGCTGTTGCTATGGGCAACTAATCTCACAGCTCCATCAGTAAACTGTGGCTGAATCATCGGATTTAAAGTGAAACGTAAAATTAAGATTAAGCTTCATCTGACCAGTCCTAACTGCTACACGGTTTCCATCAGCCACGCTGCTCACAAACTTGCTGGTGCTCCAGCATGTGAAACAGAGGAGTTTTTCTTCCTTCGAGCTCCAACACCCACACCACCCACACACCAACCAAAAAAACAAAAAAAAAAAAAAAAAAAAAAAAAAAAATGAAACGCCTCCAGATCCTCTACTCCACGCTGTGATGTCATCAGACGAGCCATCTTCGTCACCACAGCAGCCTGACAGGAAACATGATGTCACACAGTGTTAGAGGTCTTGACGCATGCTCGATGAGCCAGGTAAGCGAATCCCAAAAAGTTGATTCTGTCACTTGGAAGAGTGACGAAATGTTTCTCCCACTGAAAACGCCGCGTCCTCATGAACAGAATCAAACCTGATCAGCCTATCAGAGCAAAGCTCCTTCATCGGTCACATGATACGTGTAAAATGCTTGTCATATGAACATGCTCAGAGGCTCCAGCAGAACACTGATAGCCTCCTTCCTGATTCCTGTTATTGATTATTATCTTGCTTGATTAGCTCTATCTGGGAGTTCAGGTTTAACTGATCCAGCTCATCAGAGAAAGATGGAAAGGTGAACCTGAGATGACTAGGGCTGGGCCATATTATACCGTTCACGGTAATACCGGTATAATGTTAGGCAACGATAGGAAAATGAAATATCGCGATAGAATATGAGTAAAACGCGCATGCGCAGTGCCTTTGTTTTCATACGCACATGGCCGATTGTTGAGTGAAACAGATGAACCAGAATTGGTTTGTAAAAATGGTGCAACTTCAGTGATGTGGAACTGGTTTGGTGTTTGTCCGTCAGATACACGACAAAGCACATTTTTTTGCAGAACATGCAAGCGGCCGTCGTTATTGTCGTATTTGTCGGACTAAGATGCTCTTAAATCTGGGAGTAATCTGGGTCCTAAACTCCGTATGCTTCAGGTCAAACGAACACTGCAGCATCACTGAGAGTTAAAAACTGTCTAAATTCTTTCATCTTTAATAAAACGATCAGCATTGCTGCTTTAACCAGGTGTAACTATGAAGTTTAACTTCCAGGCATCCATGAAAACAAAATTTATTACATTTAACGGAGTTAGAAGTTAGCAGGAAGCTAGCGGAAGTTAGCTCGCTAGTTTCGCTAGTTACCTAAGCATGATATAGCATGTTCTGACTAGAGATTTCTGGAAAAATTCAAACGTACAGCTCTGCTATCACGTCCAACATAAATGAAGACAGGAAACTAAACAGCAGTGACGTTTGTAGGGTTACTGAAGTTGGGCTAGCTGGTATATAATGATGTGCTACGTGATCGCTAGCGACACAGCTATGTTAGCATAACATAAACAGTGAAGCTGGAGGACGAACACTAACACTTTTTCCACTTATAAAAGTTAACGTTAAAGTTCCTGATAGAGACAACTGCAATCGCATGGCAGGATGCTGTAAACGGACCAAACTTCAGTCAGGAGAACAACTGAGATAATCCATCCACAATACGAGGTTAGTCATTAATATACTGCAACAACATGGGAATAGAGCAGCTCAGAGTTCATCATTAATAATAACAATGGTACAGAAGTGGAGGAAGCAAGAAGAATGAGTTTAATAAAGTTTGATTTATCTGACTGCTTTGTTTCGCTTAATGTGCCTTATAATCCCGTGCACCTTATGGTCCGAAAAATACGTACTGCACACTGCAGTTTAATGTTGCAAAGCACCTCTTTTTAACTTCAGTGGATATTATACAT